TTGAAGCCCTAAAAACGCGCATTTAAAGCCGCCCCCAAAGCTGATAACTGCCCCGTGCACTGGATTTCAATGGGCCACAACGGTGTCATGAATTGGAATTTCTAAATCTGCCGAGCGCGCGGAGACGTAATTCTTACTTTATTTTCATGGAACCCCACCGTGAGTTCCCATCGCTCAGTGCGAGCAATGCAGGTGGACGCCTTGTTCAAGCAGCTTATATAACAACATAAACAACAACGGGTTGTTTGTGAATATGTTTTTGATGGCGTCATCGATTTCCCAATGTGAATTCTGACTATTAACGTACACTCACAACATTGAACTGACATCACACCATCCAGATACTCACCATCAACATCCTCATCATCATCATTGTAAGTCATGATCAATCCACTACGGTCAAACAGTCTATCTGGTGCCTGCACGGGAGCCTATTAGTATTGCTCCATCTCTGCAGTGGATGTCCCGTTTGTGCGTGCTCGCTGTTTTGGCTCCACTGTATCAACCATCAGCCATCATCCTTTCTAGCGACGTGTCCTGCGCAAGCCCAAATAATTTTTTCACGGTGTAAATTTTGACTTTCACCTACATATGGTTCTCCAATCCATATATGTGTCTATCGGTCTCACGGCGTAATTCCAAGTTTGAACGTCTTCCAGCGTCTTTGCACACTTTTCAGGTGTTGTTTAAATGTTTCGTCAAAGTCGGCGCGTCGGATGCATGTGTCAAGAGCTGGTAATATGCGCAAATTAAAAACTTTATTTTACCCGGCAACAAAATAGCTGGTGGCAAAAATTTTCATTCAGATGGCATCATTGTTTCCCCCCGCCTCCCTGTGGAATTCACAGTAATACCGATATTCCCCGTGTGAATTCTGGACTCTATTAATGTGGACCTACAGCACTCGTATCGATGTTAACACGTCAACCTCATCGATACATCGTTACTGTCACCGCGCCTGAGAGAGAATCCTGTCCATTTCCTCCTCGTGGGAAAATGTCAGTTTTAAGGAGCGAGAGGCATTTCGACGGTGGTGTGAACTCGGGATGCCGCGACATCGCGAGCGATGTTACGAACAATCGCACTTGCGGGTCTAGGGCATCGTTCGTCGTGTGAATGATTATCATTGCTAGTTTTTACATATAATTTCCCCGATTAAATAAAATTACATTTTCTAATGAAATGCTTGTATCATATTAATGATAATGAAGAGTTCACAATAATAATATTGCGGGTTTTTTTGCAGAAGAGCTATTAACCAGCTCTATCAGGTACCTTGCACAAATCTGACCAGATAACTTGACGTCACGGTGGTTTTAACTTTTCAGAATTTCATCGCAATCTAACGGCGCGTGCATTTTAAGCGTAATATAGCAAGGCTAACAACGATTTGCGGAGGCTTTCCTTGGGTGAACACAACAACTGTTGATAGCGTCCCATCGTGTCGCGTGCAATTACATCGCGGCGGCGGCGGCGGTGACCCTCGTATGTGAACGTTCCCGCTGGCGATGTTGCGACAGCGACAGACAACGATGGGGGAGGGGGCAGTGATCACGAGGTCTTCGGGCTCTCTAGCCAGACGCGGAGGGTGGGTGGGGGGGGATTCACGAGAATGGGCCTCATCTCCGTGAAATCCATTTTCATATTCTGTTGGCAGCATTCACAAAGCCTACCGGGAGTTCCACTGACCGTGCAGTCCAGGGCAAAAAAAAGAAAAATGCTTTCCAGCTAAGCAGGAGCATCGTGGAGTGACAGAGCGGTGTTTATTGCCGTCACGGAAGTCTCGAATTTTCTAAAAAGCTGTCGCTTTGGATATTTGAGTTCAATAACCGCGTGGCTTCATCCCAGCAAAGTGCTACTTTTTCGCATATTGCTATATGCTTGCCATGCCTGAGGTATGGCGTAGTCGGAATTAGGCTTATGCGTTGCTGTACAGAGTGTTAATGCGGTGTCTCTAAGTTACGATGTCTACGCATACATTGTGTAAAAAAAAATACGGCATCTCGCTGAAATTATGTAAATACAATAGCGACCGTGCTTGAACGAAATATTGTGTTATAACAACAAGTTATCATCATAAGTCGTAATACATGGAGGGAAAAAAAACTATTGATTTCCTACACAGTTCACCATCTGTCGCCTAAATATCCGCATACACTTGCGTATTTCAAGAAACGTGTGAACTCCTTGATCACAAACGTAACTGTGCTGTTTGTTGCTGCCCGCTTGGTGCATTTGGCCATTTGGTCGCCGTGCTCAGCAACCGCGATTTATCAAAATAACAAAAAAAATGCCCTCGTACCTTGTGGTGTTGAGAGCTTAGGTTTTAAGTCTGTTACGTCAATTATTATAATGCACTCAATTGAAATGTTTTGTCTTTGAAAATGATTAACTTTCCGTTGTTTTGGATGTGTTAATATCTCAGTGTGTGCGTTGCCCTTAATGAAGTGCACATTTAGCGGATGCTCGCTGCGCGCTGTTGCGCGATGCTGTTCAATTGTGCAATTTCGTTTTCGCGTGCTGCTGTATGAGCGGAGCGTAATCCCACGTTTAAAAGAGTGTTCGGAATGGCACAAAGTTGCCTCCATTGCTCACAGTGCCTCTCGACAGCGCTCTCCTCGTCTTCCTCGACCTGGTCAGATGAAAAACACAGCCCCAAACTGTGTTGCAAGGCCCCAGAATGTTGTGCTAGGCACGGAATACAGACTCAGAACGCATTGCAATGCAGCATGGTCGGTGAGAGCATGTGATGCTTTGGTTCTTTCGGTAAAGTAACGTAGAAGGAAAACACATTTAAACAATAGAATACGACATTTCGTCATCAGGTGGAACTAAATTTGAGATAGAGACAAAACACAGACACGGAGACACACAGACAGACACACAAGCAGAGAGAGACAACACAGAGACACACAGAGAAAGACACACAACATAGACACACAGAGACACACAACATAGACACACAGAGACACACAACATAGACACAGTCTGTGAGTCTATGTTTTGTCTCCCTCTGTGTGTCTCTCTGTTGTCCCTCTCTGCTTGTGTGTCTGTCTGTGTGTTTCCGTGTCTGTTTTTGTCTCTCTCAAATGTAGTTCTACCTGATGACGATTGCTTGTGTTGCAATCGAAACGTCGTATTCTATTGTTTTATTTATTTTATTTTCTACGTGACTTTACCGAAAGAACCAAAGAGTAATTCCTGCAGTCACGAAAGCTTCAAATCAAATTTAAAGCATATGATGCTCTTCATTTGCTCCCGAACCATAATGCTGCACTGCTACACATAATACACTATTTCATACACTTGCTTTTTGTGTTAAATAGGGACCCATAGATTGAATCGAGTACTTTTGCCGTCATGTGCATCTGGTAACACACCAGCATTCGTTCAAAAAGCCTGACCACTGATGACACCCAAAAGGTCAAACCTCCTATTAGAGTTGCCTTGCTTAAATTAATACTGCTGGTTCACATGGTCTGGAAAGTCAATAGGCTGATGAACTGAACACACACATTTTACTTACAAGTGAATTTCTGATGAAAAACATTTTTAACTGGTCAAGTTTACTAAAACTATGGAACAATGGTCCCCACTTCGTGTAGAGCAGAGTACTTCTTCAAGCGTGGAAACTCTTCCACACCTGAGATTCCCGCAAGGTCTATTACTGCGATTGCAGGATCACGTGACAAGGGTGGCAGCTTAGGGCAGGCCTGCATCTAGCAGCGGAGTGACCATGGCTGCTGATGATCACGTGACCCGGTGCACAATCAACTGCCCCCTGCTTCATACAAATTTGGATGCAACTCACTGGGGCAGCCACATTCATGGGCATCTCTTTGTTTATTTATTTAAATTCAAGATGCACGCTGACGATGTGCGTTGCTTTGTCTTGCTGCACATATTTGCGTGCATATTTGAGAAAAATGTAACTCATTATCGCTCCTATTTAAAAATTTAGGAGCTGTTGATCATTCTAAGGGTTAATGGTCATTGTAGCAGGGCATTAAATAATATTTATTTACACCCAGCCCATTAGCTCCTTAGTGCTAGCTCAATACCTTTCATGGCCCTAATACTGCTACACTTAGCTGCATAGCATATTAATAATGCATAGTGACATGCTGCCTAATATATAGCATTTATATGGTGCACGTTATAAACTTAAGACACGTCCAGGGGTTCACAGTATTTTCAAAAATAAACTTTCTACGTTTTTTTTAAACTTGAAATAACATCGTTGTGCGAGAGTGCTGATATAATCGCATGACATACACACACACACTGTACGAATATTATAAAGAGAGACATGCAATATCCTGCAGGGCTCTGCTACGTTTTTTTTGCGTTCACGCATTTGCGGTGTCAGTTCCACGACAACTCACCACTTACGACTTTTTTGGGCTCATTCATCAGTCGCGCCCTCAACTTTCCAAGCGAGCAGCAGATGAGACGAGAGTGAAACCTCGTCTTGCGTTGCGCTCAAACGTGATTTGGTTTGTGGCCATGATCAGCGCTTTGGGAACCGTGCCAAAAGCGCTCCGAAGAAGAAAACGAATGAAAAGCAGCTGGCGTTACACTTTGTTGCAAATGTGCATGCCGTAAATGCTACGGCCCGGCTCGGTTATTCAAGGAACACAGCTTTGGCGAGGCCATTTACCAACATCTGATCTCAGCAGTTCTGCTGGCAGCATTTTGAATGTATTTCGAGCCATTAAACTGACAGGAGATCGATAATCTTAAAGACCAATAAATCATACACAAACACATCATCGTGCGTGGCCGTGAGATAGCCTCCTTTAATATGCATCTCGCATGCAAAGAGCGATTCTGAAATCGAACAGAAAAGGGTGGCATATGGACGTGCGAAAGGAAGATTATGATGAGCTAAGAACGATTAATTCCGTCCAGTGCTGTGGAGCAGCGTTAAACATGTGATAGGCAATTTAAGTAAACGACAGCATGCCTAACCATTGTCCACCGCTGCTGGGTGTGTGCAGTGTGGAGTTGCCGCTCGATAGATTGGAGGCGGTGACTGATCGTGGTGTGAAGACTTCCATGCCCCTCGTTCGCGCGCACGGTGAGTGGAGTTCACTCTTCCTCCCACGAGCGCGTTTCACTCATGCAGCCTCGCGGCCCCCGGTGCTCCTCCTCGTCCGCTGCTGCTACTGCTTCTTCTTCTTCTTGCATTTGCCGTCAAAGGTCTACGTCCAAGGACACGTAACGGCTTGTGTCGCCGCTTCATCACGTTCAATTCAGACTTCTCTCCCCACCGTCCATCCGTCATGTGGGGACAGTCCTCGGCCGGCAATGTGGACGTCTGCTCGATTGGCAGCTCTGCAGTCGCGTGCGGTAGGGGTGGCACGCAAACCGAAGACGGTGCCAAGTCTGCGTGCCAAGGTGCCCGTAGCCACACGCCAGCCTGTGTTAAGCGTGGCCCAGAGCAATCTGGGTAGCCGCTGAGCGGTGCAGTGGAGGGTGTGAGGCAGAGTCCGATCCGATCGCCGGGCTTTCTGCCACAGTTGGTGAGCGGGTCGCTTTGATGAGCTGAGGAGAAGTTGATGGGACGGCTACCACCGCGAGACCCTTGAATTGCTACGCAAGCTGCCCAAGTCGCGCATCTACTTCCATTTTTCTTCTTGGTTCTTTTGGTAAAGTCACGTAGAATGGAAATAATACAATAATAATAATAAAATAATAATAAATAAAACATAATAAAATAATTCTCACGACGTTTCGGCCACAACGCAAGCAGCCATCCTCAAGTGGAGAACAGGTCTGTCGAGAAGACAGAGTCTGAAGCAAAAAATACTTCCATTTTGAAAAAAATACTTCCATTTTGTTTATTGTTAGTATTATGCTTCCTGAATGTGCTGTTTACGTTTATACGCTTGCTGCAGTACAGCTTTTTGAGATGCTTGGTTATTCAGATGCCATAAAAATTAAATAGAAAGTTGGGCAATGGCGTTGTTGCTCAGCGCACTGTGTCACGATAAGCGTTGGGTGGAGTGCGAGTGCTTTGAACCTGGCTATCTGAGTTCGATTCCCGGACAGGGCGAGCATCAGTGGTGAGTGATATCAGAACTGGTCCTGATTCCCTCCCCCCTTCACCAATCCTCACTGGTCCAGTATGGTGAAGTATGGTCATACAACCCTAAAAACAGCTTGGAGAAAACGTCATCCAGCAGTGGTTGACAAAGGGTAGAATATTATTGCTATTGAAAGCATTCAAATTATTATTATTAATAGTATTATTATCAGTGTTCTGTGGAAGGACCTTATTTTGAACAGGCTGCTCAATCACCAACGTTTTTGTAAAATGCGCCTAAAATGGCTTATGGAATTCAATATATTACGGCAAATGTGAGGTTTATGCAATGCTTAGATTCCTGAACAGACAGGATATTGTCATGAAGTGAATGACATCATGCTTATTTCTGATCTGCAATGAGTCTCACGGTGAATGCGGATTTCAAACATCGTGGTCTTTTTTTTTTAGATCGGCTTAGAACACCACAGAGCTTCTGAACAAGAGCTATTCATTCGTTTCGTCCCTTTAAGTCCCACCTCATGTTAACTTTACCTTACCCTGACGCTTTTCTGATTCATTTTTATTTCATCACGAATTGAATTGTCAGCAATCATGGCTGCCCCCCCCCCCCCCCCCCAGAACGTTGTTTAGGTGAGAATTTCATTTTGTCATTTTTAGAAGATAAATTCTTGCTATACTACATGGCAGGAGTTATGAACGCATTCAAATGTTAGCTGACTTCAACTCGCAGCAGTGTCACTTTCCCAACAGCCTGTCTCTGACATCTCTAATCCTTTCAAGCAAGAACAAACAGAAACAAAGATTAATGTCTCTTTTCTTTAAAAAAAGGATTGACGTGCTCTCGTGTTGATTGGGCCCGAGTTGCTGGCCGAAGGGTGGCGGTTCGATTTTAAAGTGAATTTCAAGTGAATCCGCACCTCCGACTTAGCACGGTTGGTTATGTACGTTGCGAAAGAAGCTCAACATACATGCATACATTTGCTTGCCACAGATGAACCACAGTACCTTGATGATCTCGTCAAGCAGCATAAACCATCACGTGAACTCTGGTCATCCTCGCAGCGATATTTGGCTGGCCATTGAACAAAGACGGCCACTGCATCGAGCGCTTTCAGATGTACCTCTGCGGCCATCTGAAACACTCTTCCTTCTGATATGAGGAAGCCACTGGAGCTGTATACTTTAAAATTATACAGATTGAAAACTCATATCTTTAATACTGCTTTTTGTGATTAGTTTGTTGTCTTTCCCCTGCACCTCCGATTGTCACGGTTGACTACATATGGCGTGAAATAAGTTCAACATACATGCATAGAATTGGCCCTCGGCTATCCGGCGGGTTCTTGGGATGTTCTCTCGTCGTGTGCCCTCTTTAAACTCCCTCCATCCGGTCCCGTTTTGGAATCTCTACTTCATTTCTTCTACGGTACACAAACCTGGCCCACGACCATTTCCTCACCCCTCCTTCCTTCAAGTCGTGCAGCAGCATGTTCCTTTCTCTGCCTCCTTGGCCACTTTCTCAACATCCTTCGTAGAACTCCCTTTGTCGAGCTCTCCCCCTGTGAGAAATTGTCCAATTAATAAAGTTGCCTTTTGTTGAATCGTCGTTGCACGTGCAGTGACGCATCACACGCAGCGTCATTACACCCACAGCATTGTCGCGAACGGCATCGCACACTTGGGCTTTACACATGACATCGTCACATGCAACATCATTGCCAGCATCCCTCTCGTGCAGTTCCTTCATAAAACCTTCACCAATGAGAAATTGTACAATCCACATTTTTGTGTTGTTTTCATGTATGGATTGTTCTAATCACATTTTGTTTCGCCTATACACCTCCTTCAGAACTTCCACGTGACTCTTTCCCTCCATTCCACACAGATGGTCCCTCGTTCAATGCCGCAACTCACACATCTCCAGGCATTCCAGTCTCCCTGTGTCGTTCTTTCTCAGTGGCCCCAGGTTTCTGCCGCATACACAAAGCGACACGGCGCACACAGCCCGAGCGGTCTCACAGGTCACGGGATGGGCACTGGGGGAGAACAAAACCCAAGTTCTGGAACAGCTTCCTTGTAATTGCTTTCAATCACCGTGTTCGGGGAATTGTGCGAGAAAGGGTAAATAATAAGACTCTCTTAGCCGATAATAAAGTAAAAAAAATCATTCCAGTTGGCGCATGTGCCCTGGCCTATTAGTGCATGTAGCTGTCAGCGCAGCGTGTACAAGACCTTTAAAAGAAATGAGGGATGGATTTATACAAAGCGCTCTTGTATGATTAATTTAACACACCGGTCACATTCATTTGTGACAGATCGACAAAAAAATAAAGCAGCCAGGTGGTTATAGCTTTATTAATAATTTGCCATCCTAAATAATTCTGCAGATACATTATGGATTTTGTTGACTTGAGGTCAGGTGTTTTTATTAGTGTTTTGCAGAACAACAAATCTGTGCTGCCTGGTGTTATTGTATCTTTTGTGCCAAATGTTAACGCCACGTCCCCGGTAAGTATTTTAATTAACTGATCCGTAATGTATCAATACATTGCTGGATAAAAGCCTCCTAAGGGCCGAACAGTTTGTGGGATTTATTTGAATGGGCATCCACGGCCACGCTGGGAAGTGCGGGTTGATGAAGGTGGAGAGGCATAAGTAACATCGAGGTACTGTAGAATATGGGATTTTACTACACCGCCCTCTGCGGCACAACATGTAGGCCCCGTAGCAGCCTGTGACAACCTGTTTGTGTATAGGTGGTCACCCACCCAAGCAAGGCCCCAAAATATCTGCTAGTTTTTGAGATCTGATGAGATCGGGTGCGTTTTCAGTTGATTTGGGCACAGTAGAAGTAGTAATAATGATCTTTATATTATAAGTGCCTTCCATATAAAAAAATCTCAAAGCGCTGTACACAAAAAAACAATGTTAAATAAAAACTGCACACACAAGTCTAGTGGGTTCTACGGAGGCACACACTTGAACTTGGAGGCAACACGTTTATTAACACACCTCAACAGGGTAACTACATAAACGTAACAACGGGTTAACTAGACCACAACAGGGTAACTAGATAAGCGCGTCATTCAGCAACACACTGCCTGACCCACGATGCCGAGCGTGAAGACCGAAGACCGAGGATCGAAGAGACGCAGCACTAACGGGTTCCATTTCAACAGACAGCCGCGATTGCTCTCGGGACCTCCCTTTTATACTCCGAGAGGCGTGGCCTCACTCCGCCTTCGGCCACGCCTTCTTCTGGATCTCACCAGAAAGTTCTCGACCGAGCATCACGTGTCCCTCAAGCCCCCTTTTGACCCCCTTCGCTACCCTGTCCCGGTCACGTGCCCTCTCGTGTTCACCCAGAGTGTCACGTGCTCACCTGCCCTCTCTCTGACCGCCATCAGAGCCATGCCCCCGAGGCCCGCTTCCATGCCATGCCGACTCTGGTGCCAGAGAGAGTTGCTCAAGACGCGCAGTTCCACTCTTGTGACAGTAGCTGGCGCTAAACGTGATAATGACTCCATTTACGTCACTCACAAGTATAGATAGTATACAATCGAAATACGCCCAAAGCTGATGATAATAATAATAACAATAATGACAACTACGTATGTATGTTGAACTTATTTAGCATCGTACATAGCCAACCGTGCTTATCTATGTTGCAACTACAATTTGTAACATAATTCAAATGAGGAACAAGCTACGACGAAAGCCAATAATAATTATACGAATTACAGTGCAGGTAGAAATCCATTGGCATTGCATGTGTAGCTTGTGGGATATGGAGATGAAAGCTTTGTGCTGGGATGTCTGGCTGGGCATCATTTTTCCCAGCTTCCCCTGGTTGAAGAGATGGCATCTCGTTTGCCGGTGGCACTATCCCCGCCGCCCCCAAGGAAAGTTCTGCTGACACTTAAAAAAAAGCAGACAGCTGACCCGTTGTTTGTCTCATCGTGCCTGCAAGCGTTCGGCTTCTTCACGAGTATGCTGGAACAGGTCCACATTGTTATCAAGACTTATGC